CACAGATAGGGGAGTAAGCTGAGGGGGGGGGGCAACATGCAGGTGAAAGGCTGGAATATTATAATGAGCTAGAGCTAATGACGTCAGAAACTACCCACTCCTGAAACCTCCTGATTTATCTCCTGGATTCAGACTGAGGCAGCCCACAAAAATATGACTGAGTCATTCATTTTCAAACTTTGCCTACTTATAGGCCCTCCACAGTCCCAAATGTACATAATCAAATTACTAAAAACTTGTTTTTTCATAATATGTCCCCTTTAAACCCAGTCTGTTCAGTTTCCAGGGACTTTACAAAGTACGGAGAAAACGAGAAGAAGAAAAATTCTCTCTCTGGAGGTAAAAATGGTCACGTACCAGCCCGGCTTGCTGGTATGTGACTGAGCCTCTGTTGGTAAACACTGGAGGAGTGAGGCTGATTCCTGGTGGACAGAACAGGGACGCTGTTCACTGCATGCAGCTCTGGAGTAAAAAAAGGAAACGGTCAACAGATCCACAGCTCCAGAGTTAGTGTAAAAACCAGCAGCCCCACCACAAGAAATCACCTTTCTTATGGTGCTTCTCCCACGATTCCCTCAGAACGCCCATCTTGGGCTGAGGGCGGATGGCCTGTTTCCATGGCAACGCCTCCTGGCTGCTGAGGGAGGAGGACTTGGAGGCGGGCTGGCTGAATATCTGGATGGTCTCCGCCCCCGCCTGGTAGGGCGCCCCGTGAGGCCTTTTGGGGCAGCGCGCAGGGCTGCTGAAGGTCTTCAGACCGCTCCCCGTGAGGTCCACGAAAAAGGTGCCGTACACGCCACAGCTGTCCGTCGCCACGGGAACGGAGGAGTCCAGAGAGCCACCCTCCTTAGACGAAACGGGGAGGCCTGGTGAAACATGGAGGACGCCAGTGAAACACTCAGCAACATAACCGTGATCACAAGTTGATCTGGACAGTAGCACAGTTTAAGATCTAAAGTTAAAGAGTTATAATATTAAAAAAAACTCAGATTTAGGGGTATTCTTTGTTACCAAATCAAGTCTGAGTGTCTAAGAAAAGATGCAGGTTATTTGAAAGAAAACCCACATCCCAGAAGTGAAACTGAGGTAAAACCAGGAATGAGTAAAAATGTCACTGTTTAAAAGCCTAATCAGAGGGGTTGAGTTCCTTTGGTTAGATAAGTTTTAATGGTGCCTAAGTTTTTTATATTTTTTATATTCACTGTAGTGGATTTAGGCGGTTTCTTACTGCAGATCTCTACAGATGTAAATTCAGAACCTGTTCACTGATTCACGCTCTCAAAATACTTTGCGTTAGTTACCTGAATCTGCTGGAAACTGTTTTCAGTATTTTATTTATTTATTTACTGCCAGTACTCACTGGTGCTCCGGATCCCTGGATGTTTCTGACCCTGAGCCCATAAATCCTGATACTTCTGACTGAAGGCGGGCCTCCAGCTTCCAGAGATCCACGGAGAATCCGGAGCTACCATCCTGGACAGAAAGAAAAAAATTGAGGGAACAAATTATATTTCATTTAATTTATTCAAGTTTCCACAAAAATGACCCATCCGGGTCTATCAAACCAACCCATCGAAAGGTGGATTTAGAATCAGAATCAGACTCAGAAATCCTTTAATAATCCCAGAGGGAAATTATTTTTGTTACTAGCTCCCTAAATAACACAACGGCATATACATATATATATACATACATATATATATATATATATACATATATGTATGCAAAATTCCACATAGAATATAAATCAATATATACATAAATAACTATATGTATATATATAGGTCTAAGTAAGTGGTAGTGATAATGTAAATAATTAAGTTTGACTCTCTGACTTGAACTAGCTGTTTAAGTAGATTTAAAGGCTTCTTTACCTGTGTTTAATGATGAGATCTTCA